AACCCCAGCTCTCACACACCTAATCCCAGCTCTCACACACACCTAACCCCAGCTCTCACACACACCTAACCCCATCTCTCTCTCACACCTAACCCAAGCTCTCTCACACACCTAACCCCAGCTCTCACACACACCTAACCCCAGGACTCTCACACACCTAATCCCAGCTCTCACACACCTAACCCCAGCTCTCACACACCTAATCCCAGCTCTCACACACACCTAACCCCAGCTCTCACACACACCTAACCCCATCTCTCACTCACACCTAACCCCAGCTCTCTCACACACCTAACCCCAGCTCTCTCACACACCTAACCCCAGCTCTCACACACCTAACCCCATCTCTCTCACACACCTAACCCTAGCTCTCACACACACCTAACCCTAGCTCTCACACACACCTAACCCCAGCTCTCACACACACCTAACCCCAGCTCTCACACACACCTAATCCCAGCTCTCACACACACCTAACCCCAGCTCTCACACACCTAACCCCATCTCTCTCACACACCTAACCCCAGCTCTCTCACACACCTAACCCCATCTCTCTCACACACCTAACCCCAGCTCTCTCACACACCTAACCCTAGCTCTCACACACACCTAACCCTAGCTCTCACACACACCTAACCCCAGGTCTCTCACACACCTAACCCCAGCTCTCACACACACCTAACCCCAGCTCTCACACACCTAACCCCAGCTCTCACACACCTAACCCCAGCTCTCACACACACCTAACATCAGATCTCACACACCTAACCCTAGCTCTCACACACACCTAACCCCAGGACTCTCACACACCTAACCCCAGCTCTCACACACACCTAACCCCAGCTCTCACATACCTAATCCCAGCTCTCACACACACCTAACCCCAGCTCTCACACACACACCTAACCCCATCTCTCTCTCACTCCTAACCCCATCTCTCTCACACACCTAACCCCAGCTCTCTCACACACCTAACCCCAGCTCTCACACACACCTAACCCCAGCACATGACTGTGTAGCTGTGTGGTCGTCTGAGAGGTATAGACATGGATGAGGGTGTGTGTGTGTGTGTTCATGGTGAACTACAGGCACCATATGAGGTATGTGCCTTTTGCCCATTTCAATTGAATCTCCATAGAAAAGGGATTGAACGGGTTTATTATAGTTCAGTACATGAGGTATTGTTATGGATTCAGATTGACTTGGCTGTACTTTCAGGTGAAGAGAAATGGTCTTGTGAAGGACTGGTCTCTTCAACCTTTGACTTGATTTTTTAAATGAACCTCAGGAGAACTATTCACTGTCATTATTATTATGATAATGATAACTTTTCCCTTTGGCAGATGTTGTTACTCGTGTTCTCAGTCCTTTCAGGATAAACACTTGGTGTGTGTGTTTTGCGCACCAAAGGCTGAGTCAGTATGTGTGTGTGTGAGAGTGTGTGTGTGTGTGTGTGAGAGAGTGTGTGTGTGTGTGTGTGTGTGTGTGTGTGTGTGTGTGTGTGTGTGTGCATACATGCATGCGCACACGTGTGTCTACTATACGACAATGACAAACGCAGGTGGGAATGTGTCTGGAGGACACTCTGAGCGGACCCAAACCCTCCACACTAACACTCTGAGCGGACCCAAACCCTCCACACTAACCCTCTGAGCGGACCCAAACCCTCCACACTAACCCTCAGAGCGGACCCAAACCCTCCACACTAACCCTCTGAGCGGACCCAAACCCTCCACACTAACCCTCAGAGCGGACCCAAACCCTCCACACTAACCCTCAGAGCGGACCCAAACCCTCCACACTAACCCTCAGAGCGGACCCAAACCCTCCACACTAACCCTCAGAGCGGACCCAAACCCTCCACACTAACCCTCAGAGCGGACCCAAACCCTCCACACTAACCCTCAGAGCGGACCCAAACCCTCCACACTAACCCTCAGAGCGGACCCAAACCCTCCACACTAACCCTCAGAGCGGACCCAAACCCTCCACACTAACCCTCTGAGCGGACCCAAACCCTCCACACTAACCCTCAGAGCGGACCCAAACCCTCCACACTAACCCTCTGAGCGGACCCAAACCCTCCACACTAACCCTCTGAGCGGACCCAAACCCTCCACACTAACCCTCAGAGCGGACCCAAACCCTCCACACTAACCCTCAGAGCGGACCCAAACCCTCCACACTAACCCTCAGAGCGGACCCAAACCCACCACACTAACCCTCAGAGCGGACCCAAACCCTCCACACTAACCCTCAGAGCGGACCCAAACCCTCCACACTAACCCTCAGAGCGGACCCAAACCCTCCACACTAACCCTCAGAGCGGTCCCAAACCCTCCACACTAACCCTCTGAGGGGACCCTAACCCTCCACACTAACCCTCAGAGCGGACCCTAACCCTCCACACTAACCCTCAGAGCGGACCCTAACCCTCCACACTAACCCTCAGAGCGGTCCCAAACCCTCCACACTAACCCTCTGAGGGGACCCTAACCATTCATACTAGCCCTCTGAGGGGAATGGGCCCCGCTCTTTCATCTGACAACGTTCTGCGCGGCGCCAACATCAAACACCTGCTCGCTCGGAATCACCCATCGGAGCGCTGAGACCTATCAACAGGTCCGAATCAGATTCTGACTCCAGCCAGCTTTTTTTTTTTCGGAGGGGATTTAAAGCTAAACTGGACGGATAATTTGGCTGGCCAAGTTATTCATAGGCTGAGTCCTATTCCCAAGGAACTGGTCAAAGGTAGTGCACTATATAGGGACTAGGGTGCCATTTGGGACACATAGTGGCGTACGTGATCACTGCCCATTAACAGCTTAATTGAAATGAAAACCAAAAGGACTGCATGTTCTGAGTCAGCATCGTGCCGAAATACTTTCCCATGACGTTGACTGAGTCCTCTCTCTGTTAATACCTCATGACATGGAGGTCTCTCTGTTAATACCTCATGACATGGAGGTCTCTCTGTTAATGCCTCATGACATGGAGGTCTCTCTGTTAATAACTCATGACATGGAGGTCTCTCTGTTAATACCTCATGACATGGAGGTCTCTCTGTTAATTCCTCATGACATGGAGGTCTCTCTGTTAATACCTCATGACATGGAGGTCTCTCTGTTAATACCTCATGACATGGAGGTCTCTCTGTTAATACCTCATGACATGGAGGTCTCTCTGTTAATGCCTCATGACATGGAGGTCTCTCTGTTAATACCTCATGACATGGAGGTCTCTCTGTTAATACCTCATGACATGGAGGTCTCTCTGTTAATACCTCATGACATGGAGGTCTCTCTGTTAATACCTCATGACATGGAGGTCTCTCTGTTAATTCCTCATGACATGGAGGTCTCTCTGTTAATACCTCATGACATGGAGGTCTCTCTGTTAATGCCTCATAACATGGAGGTCTCTCTGTTAATGCCTCATGACATGGAGGTCTCTCTGTTAATGCCTCATGACATGGAGGTATTTGATTAAATCAAAGAATAGAACCGGTGTTGAATTTCCAAGAGGCTAATCGCTTTAGCCAGCTAATGTGACACTTCCCCAGTTGTATGTTAGCAGTCTTAAACTGAGCAGTAGATGGTAACGCAAGCTGCATTGAGTGAGTACGCACTAGTGCATGTTCATGTCATAGGTATGACATCCCAACAAACCGTGAACATTCCCAGAACATTAGCTAAGATTCACATGAAGTCTACATTTTTACATTTACATTTACGTCATTTAGCAGACGCTCTTATCCAGAGCGACTTACAAATAGGTGCATTCACCTTATAGCCAGTGGGATAACCACTTTACAATTATACTATTATTATTATTATTATTATTTTTTTTTTTATTTTTTTTTGGGGGGGGGGGGGTTGGGGTAAGGGGGGGGGTAGAAGGATTACTTATCGAAAAGTTCTATTTAGGGTTTTATCTGACATTAGGATGATTACATCCCAAAAAAACATGAAGAGAATGTTTTTGATAACAAAATATTTTTTTATGTTTAAAAGGTTTCCAGGTAATGTAATAACACAATGTACCAGTAATGTGATGATTATAGAATGTTTGTATAAAACATTCGCCTGATGTTGCAAGAACATTCCTATAAGACATTTAATCTGTTCTTTAAAGGTTCCCAGAATGTTTAATTAGGTTGTGGGAACAGTCTGGTAAGAACCATGTGGGGACATTTTTATACAAACATTCTATAATCATCACCCCGACTGGACAGTTTTTGTGCTATGAGAACATTTGCCACCCCGACACTGTTTTTGGTAAAAAGCTCAGGGATTGGGCTTGAGAAATGTAACCATAGAATCATAGATGGAGCTATGGATGTAAGGACTGACCATCAATGAGATTAAAATTATAGCTTTAAACAACTTAACCCTACTCCGTTGAATGCAGAGCAGACATTCATGAACTGTGACCTGTCTCTAATGGTCATGTTTCCAGGATAATTGTTCCCATCCGGCTCGAAGGACCATAATACATTGGACCATGAAAAAGAGCTCCATGGGAAGGTGGCTTCAGAGAGAGAAAGAGAGGGAGAGAGAGAGTCAGAGAGAGAGAGATTTAGAGAGAGAAAGAGAGAGTCAGAGAGAGAGAGAGAGAGAGAGAGAAAGCAGTCCAGAGGTTGAGGTCATTCAACTGTTGGGTGCTTTCCAGGGATATATGAACAGCTGCTTGTAGGAACTGACCAGAAGGAACTGCAGTACTAAATAGGTATTGGACAGTGGGATGGGAAAAGTGTTGATGGACAGGTGAGGTGACCAATGGCTGGCCTATTGGGTGTGTTCTAACTGTATGTTACGGCTGCAGGCGATCAGACCCGCCCGGACCCTTTGGGGATGAATTACCAGTGCATGTCCAAAAGTAGTGCACGCACATCCAGCAATTTTTCAAAGAGTATATAATAGAAAATAAATCAATTGAACAGGGCGAAAAATAAACTCAAATAAAGTATACGGGAGTGTGTGTGGGTATCTGCTTATTTTCTATGAACAGTGCATGCCATGGACACAGTACCTTGTGATTAGAATGGCCGTGTCCACGGAGGGTAAGTCCTCCCTCCACCGAGTGCTAAAGTCTGACATCACACTCTTCTTCCCATACTCCTCCTGCTGCCAACGACAGAAGCTCTCCAGCATCTTCTCACCATGGTGACCAATGTACATGTCTGACTGCATAGACAGACAGAGAGACAGACAGACAGACAGAGAGAGAGAGAGACAGACAGACAGACAGACAGACAGACAGAGAGACAGACAGAGAGACAGACAGACAGACAGACAGACAGACAGACAGACAGACAGACAGACAGACAGACAGACAGACAAAGAGACAGACAGACAGACAGACAGACAGACAGACAGACAGACAGACAGACAGACAGACAGACAGACAGACAGACAGACAGACAGACAGACAGACAGACAGACAGACAGACAGACAGACAGACAGACAGACAGACAGAGGGAGAGAAAGAGATCAAAATAGAAATGTAATTCATTGTTATGACCTGACATAAGGCACTATGACTGCTTATGATGTGTTCATGACATGACATTCAAAATATTCTTGTTGTAGAATATAGAAGTTAAGTTACTCTAAGTGAATCTGGTTTGTAGGTTATGGCCCATACTGTACAGCTGAAGTAGTGTTAGCTTGATGTCTCTTACTGGTGTTTCCTGAAGCAGCACAAGTTTAGTCAATCTGATATTGATCTGTATGCCCAGGCTCTTGTGTTGAAACAAGTTGAAAACCTGCAAAAAGAAAGGAATGGATATAATGTAAAACCCTTGTAATAACACAGCAACAAGAGTATATTGCTATATCGCAGCAATACACATATCCCTTCCTTTCAGTTCTAAGCAAGTGCCTAGGGGTTTAGAGGCTTTTCTGGATAGGGCCAGGGAAGTACAGGGGGGTAGGGGTAGGGGTAGGGGTAGGGGGTAGGGGGGTAGGGGTAGGGGGATAGGGGTAAGGTTAGGGTGTCCCAGGGGCCACATTCGGTCTTCAATGAATGTCTTCTTTTTGAATTTTCGGTGCTCCCTGACTGTCTACCTGTCATTTCGGTGATTATTATCAAGCTGGACACAGTCAAGAAACTGTATGAATGTAGGTCCATTATTATTTCTACACATTTTAGTCATTTTACTCAAACCACCCGCGGGCGGTATGTTTGACACCCGTGGTTTAAGGGGTTGTTTCTGGACAGGACCAGAGAACAGAGACACATACCCATAGATATCCTATGAAATGATTCTATATGTATAGTATAATATATTTATAGTATATGTAATTCTATGTACATACCATATTCATGATGGTGAGGATGAATCGTTTGGCTGCATCTGAGCCGTGGTAGCTGACCATGGCTGGGTCTGCCACCACCACAGTCTCCACGTTGTACTCGTGGAGTAGTTTATATGAGTACCGTTTCCCTCTGCCTCCCTCAGATGGTTTCCTGTTCATACTCTTCTGTCTTTCTGTAAATAAAAAACAGAGAAAAATGACAACGCTTATTATGACGCTTCCCATAATGCCCTGCAGTCAAGTTGCAGTTGTTGACATAGGCATTTCATAAATGCTTGTGTACTGCTCAATAATGTGTTATGGAGTGGCTTATGAATGTGTTATGGGGTCCTTATGAATGTGTTATGGAGTCCTTATGAATGTGTTATGGAGTCCTTATGAATGTGTTATGGAGTCCTTATGAATGTGTTATGGAGTCCTTATGAATGTGTTATGGAGTCCCTATGTAATTACTATTCAAATAGTGTTACCCTATGTAGTTACTAGAGTATAACCAGAGTGTAACTAGTCAGTATAACACGGTAACTAGTATAACCAGAGTGTAACTAGTCAGTATAACACGGTAACTAGTATAACCAGAGTGTAACTAGTCAGTATAACACGGTAACTAGTATAACCAGAGTGTAACTAGTCAGTATAACACGGTAACTAGTATAACCAGAGTGTAACTAGTCAGTATAACACGGTAACTAGTATAACCAGAGTGTAACTAGTCAGTATAACACTGTAACTAGTATAACCAGAGTGTAACTAGTCAGTATAACACGGTAACTAGTATAACCAGAGTGTAACTAGTCAGTATAACACGGTAACTAGTATAACCAGAGTGTAACTAGTCAGTATAACACGGTAACTAGTATAACCAGAGTGTAACTAGTCAGTATAACACGGTAACTAGTATAACCAGAGTGTAACTAGTCAGTATAACACGGTAACTGCAGATAAGGAACAGTCAAATGAAACTGGTCAGATTCTGTTTCAAATCAGTTACTAGTGTAATGACACTGCAGTTCCATGTAACTCCATGTAACTGTCTGGTATCTGTAACTGAAACGCACGCCCATACATATGAAAAAGGAGTCGGTTATATAGTGACTTTATTGGTCAGCACACACTTAGTTTGAAAAGGGGTAGTAGACAGAAAGTCCACGCACATTGACCTCATCTGGAGTGGATTTCCTAGATCAAAAGCAGATAGGTAAGACCTCGTAATGAAAACCTTCTTGGTCTCTGGTCCGCTTTGCGAGAGCTTGAGGGTTTAACACTGATGTGGAGATAGCCCTGTGCTTATTCAAGGTGAGAACTAGGAACGATAGAACAATGAACGTCTTACGACCGGGGGGCCACTATCGTTGAACCTCGTTGAACCTGAAAGATAGGTCTACGTGTGACAGTTATGTTGAGTTTTATATGTTCACATCTTTTGAAGGGTTAAGAGATCTCAGAAGTCCGATCAGGCGAGTAGAGAAAACGTCTACGTCTGCACACCATTGAGTTCTCTTGCTCGCTGTATATAAATCAGACATGGATCTCTCAATAAGCTGAGGCATGTGCTTTACCAATGGAGACTTAGCATGCAAGAGGACGAATGCTAGTGTGGAAGCTATTGCTTTCTGACATTGAAGATGTATAAATTCAATATAGGGTTGAAAAATGGTCGGCAAAACATTTTGATATAGGGTTGATGTACAGTATAGGTGGAAATGCCTTAGGATGAGAGGACAATGTGCAAATCGCGAGGTGGAAAATATCAAGTGGATATCTACCTACAGGGTGAGAATGTGTCACTGGGCCTTTGTGAAGAACATGGTTTGTTGGCTCTGTTGCATTATGCTTAAAAGTAAAGTATGGTCAGTAAATTAATATACTGTGGGTAGAGACATTTTACAAACATGTTCCACAATGCCCATTATTATTAGTTTTATCATTACGTAAAGAGATACGTTTAACTTGAAAATACATTTGTGTAGATCTTCCATAGCATTAGGAATACTAGAATGGACATGAACTATGCAATGACAGTATAAAAGATCAGCCATTTTGGTAAAGAAGTTGGTCAACCATGGTCAGCCAGTGCTGTGATAAGATATTATGTACAACAATTAATTTGAAGATTATCTGCACAGTATGTTTATTAGCTAGCTAGCCAACCAGTTTTAGTGGAATGATTCCATTAATTTTTCAAATGAACTTCCACTATGCCAACATTCCATACAAACAACACAGTTAATCCACAGCCATACACTGGCTGAAATCAGTTGATGATAGGACTTAGACAAGCTGTAAATGCAACAAGTACTGATGTTGTATCACATTATATTTTAGAGGCTATTTATACAGAACATGTGTATAAAAACTGTCTAAACCGTATTTATAATATATGACACATTTTGGTGTGACAATATTTTTTATATTACACAATTTCTGATATATTACACGCATCACTTACAGCCCGGCAGCATGCTCTCAATGGTGCATCTGTAGAAGTTTGTGAGGGTCTTAGGGGCCAAGATGAATTTCTTCAGCCTCCTGAGGTTGAAGAAGCGCTGTTGCGCCTTCTTCACCACACTGTCTGTGTGAATGGACCATTTCAGGTTGTCAGTGATGTGCACTCAAAGGAGCTTTTCACCCTCTCCACTGCGGCCTCGTCTATGTGGATGGGGGCATGCTCTCTCTGCTGTCTCCTGAAGCGTAGCGGAGGTATTATTGCCTACCTTCACCATCTGGGGTCGGCTCATCAGGAAGTCCAGGACCCAGTTGCACAGGGCTGGGATCAGACCCAGGGCCCCAAGCTTAGTGATGAGCTTGGAGGGCACTATTGTGTTGAAGGCTGAGCTGTAGTCAATGAACAGCATTCTTACATAGGTATTCCTCTTGTCCAGGTAGGATAGGGCAGTGTGCAGTGCGATGGCGATTACGTTGTCCGTGGATATGTTGGGGCGGTATGCAAATTGTAGTGGGTCTAGGGTGTCGGGTAAGGTGGAGGTGATATGATCCTTAACCATCCTCTCAAAGCACTTCATGATGACAGAAGTGAACGCTACGGAGCGATAGTCATTTAGTTCAGTTAGCTTAGTTTTCTTGGGTACAAGAACAAGGGTGGACATCTTGAAGCAAGTGGGGACAACAGACTGGGATAGGGAGAGATTGAATATGTCCGTAAACACTCCAGCCAGCTGGTCTGCACATGCTCTGAGGATGCGGCATGGGATGCCGTCTGGGCCAGCAGCCTTGTGAGGGTTAACATGCTTAAATATCTTACTCACGTGGGCCACGGAGAACAAGAGCTCACAGTCCTTGTGAGTGGTGGTGGTCCGCATCGGCGGCACTGTGTTTTCCTCGAAGCGGGCAAAGAAGGTGTTTAGCTTGTCCGGTATCTGCGGCGTGGTTGGTTTTTCCCTTTATAATCTGTGATTGTCTGGAGTCCCTGCCACATACATCTAGTGTCTGAGCTGTTGAATTACAACTCCACTTTTTCTCTGTACTGACGTTTTGCCTGTTTGATTGCCTTACAGAGGGCATAGCTGGAATGTTCATACTCATCCATGTTCACAGTCACCTTGCCATGGTTAAATGCACTTTCAGTTTATCTATCCACGGTTGGTTTGGATCATTTCTAATCATCACAGTGCGAACAACATCTTCTATGCACTTCCTTATGAACTCAGTCACCGAGTCAGTTTGTACGTCAATGCTATTCTCAAAGGCAACCCGGAACATATCCCCGTCCGTGTGGTCAAAACAACCTTGAAGCATAGATTCCGATTGATCAGACCAAAGTTAAACAGTACTTACCACGGGTACTTCCTGTTTAAGTTTCTCCTTATAGGAAGGGAGGAGCAGAATGGAGGCGTGATCTGATTTGCCGATTGGAGGGTGGGGGCGGGCCTTGTAGCCGTCCCGGAAGGGGTAGTAGCAATGGTCAAGAGTTCTCTATGAGCGAGTAGCGCAGGAGATGTGTTGATAAAACTTCGGTAGTGTTTTCCTCAGATTTGCTTTATTAAAGTCCCCAGCTACAATAATGAGGCCTCAGGATATGCGTTTTCCAGTTTAAACCAAGTCCAGTGTAGTTCCTTGAGAGCTGTCAGGGTGTTTACTTGAGGGGGAATATACACGGTAGTGACGATGACTGAAGACAGTTCTCTCGGGAGGTAATGTGGACAGCATTTGATGGTGAGGTATTCCAGATCGGGAGAACAAAAGGACTTGGGTTTCTTTACGATTAACTAATCATGAAACATACACCTCCGCCTTTCTTTTTACCAGAGAGTTCTTTCTTCCTGTCCGCGCGATGTACGGAGAACCCCGCTGACTGCATGGACGGGGACAGTATATCCAGAGAGAGCCATGATTCCGTGAAACAGAGTATGTTGCAGTCCCTGATGTCTCTCTGGAAGGAGAACCCCCCCCTGAGCTCGCCTAGTTTATTGTCCAGGGACTGAACATTAGCAAGTAATATCCTTGGAAGCGGTGGATGGTATGCACGCCCGCTAAGTCAGACTAAAAGCCCACTCCGAATTCCTCTTCTCCGTCGACGGCGTCTTGTAGCAACCCCTGGGATCAGTGGAATTGCCTCGGGAGGTACGAACAAAGGATCCAATTCTGGAAAGTCTCATTTTTGGTCGAAATGCTGGTGAGTGACCGCCAATCTAATATCCAAAAGTTATTTTCGGAAAGAAACGTTCTGAGCAAATAATGTAAGAAATAACACAAAAAAATTATATATATACAGTACCAGTCAAAAGTTTGGACACACCTACCTTTTGTACTATTTTCTACATTGTATTTTCAAAACTATGAAATAACACATATGGAATAATGTAGTAACCAAAAAAGTAAAGAGTGTGCAAAGCTGTCATCAAGGCAAAGGGTGGCTATTTGAAGAATCTCAAATATAAAATATATTTTGATTTGTTTAACACTTTTTTGGTTACTACATGATTCCATATGTGTTAGTTCATAGTTTTGATGTCTTCACTATTATTCTACAATTCTACATAGTTTGCTAGCTCACCTGGTTAGCTAGCTCTCTCAGTCTCATTGACCACCAAACATAGCTAATGCTAGCTAGCCACTTAATATAATTATTATTTTTTTTAATGTATGTAAGCTAGCTAAGTTAACAATGCTATGAATGCAACTGCCATCTGCAGTCGATATTCGGATACGATTTGAGTGCACTGGATAGCTCCAAAAGTGGTTAAAGCTTTGACTGCATATTTACAGTGAATTCTGAGCCATTAACAGCAGCTAGCTACACCACATACATCATTTTACCAGGTTCCTGTGAAGCAATTGAAATGACAGTCCACCACAACATACCCAAGAGTTTCCTGATTAGCAAGGGGTAGTCTGTGTTTAATTTCATTATGTATTAGAAACACAGTTTGAGATCATTGTGAGGGGATTTCGCCAGTGGTTGAATGGGGAATTCGGCTTCCCGGGAAAATGATGTCCGAGTTTGCAACAGTAACCAAGGGGTCAATTAGACTGGTTTGGAAATCTCCCTGCACGTCAACTATGACAGACAAATTGAGGAAAAAAATTCCAGAAAATCACATTGTAGGATTTTTAATGAATTTATTTGCAAATTATGGTGGAAAATAAGTATTTGGTCACCTACAAACAAGCAAGATTTCTGGCTCTCACAGACCTGTAACTTCTTCTTTAAGAGGCTCCTCTGACTTCCACTCGTTGCCTGTATTAATGGCACCTGTTTGAACTTGTTATCAGTATAAAAGACACCTGTCCACAACCTCAAACAGTCACACTCCAAACTCCACTATGGCCAAGACCAAAGAGCTGTCAAAGGACACCAGAAACAAAATTGTAGACCTGCATCAGGCTGGGAAGACTGAATCTGCAATAGGTAAGCAGCTTGGTTTGAAGAAATCAACTGTGGGAGCAATTATTAGGAAATGGAAGACATACAAGACCACTGATAATCTCCCTCGATCTGGGGCTCCACGCAAGATCTCACCCCGTGGGGTCAAAATGATCACAAGAACGGTGAGCAAAAATCCCAGAACCACACGGGGGGACCTAGTGAATGACCTGCAGAGAGCTGGGACCAAAGTAACAAAGCCTACCATCAGTAACACACTACGCCGCCAGGGACTCAAATCCTGCAGTGCCAAACGTGTCCCCCTGCTTAAGCCAGTACATGTCCAGGCCCGTCTGAAGTTTGCTAGAGTGCATTTGGATGATCCAGAAGAGGATTGGGAGAATGTCATATGGTCAGATGAAACCAAAATAGAACTCTTAGGTAAAAACTCAATTCGTCGTGTTTGGAGGACAAAGAATGCTGAGTTGCATCCAAAGAACACCATACCTACTGTGAAGCATGGGGGTGGAAACATCATGCTTTGGGGCTGTTTTTCTGCAAAGGGACCAGGACGACTGATCCATGTAAAGGAAAGAATGAATGGGGCCATGTATCGTGAGATTTTGAGTGAAAACCTCCTTCCATCAGCAAGGGCATTGAAGATGAAACGTGGCTGGGTCTTTCAGCATGACAATGATCCCAAACACACCGCCCGGGCAACGAAGGAGTGGCTTCGTAAGAAGCATTTCAAGGTCCTGGAGTGGCCTAGCCAGTCTCCAGATCTCAACCCCATAGAAAATCTTTGGAGGGAGTTGAAAGTCCATGTTGCCCAGCGACAGCCCCAAAACATCACTGCTCTAGAGGAGATCTGCATGGAGGAATGGGCCAAAATACCAGCAACAGTGTGTGAAAACCTTGTGAAGACTTACAGAAAACATTTGACCTGTGTCATTGCCAACAAAGGGTATATAACAAAGTATTGAGAAACTTTTGTTATTGACCAAATACTTATTTTCCACCATAATTTGCAAATAAATTCATTAAAAATCCTACAATGTGATTTTCTGGATTTTTTTTCTCAATTTGTCTGTCATAGTTGACGTGTACCTATGATGAAAATTACAGGCCTCTCTCATCTTTTTAAGTGGGAGAACTTGCACAATTGGTGGCTGACTAAATACATTTTTTCCCCACTGTACATGTAGTTCAACTAGTAATTTTCCTACATTTTGCTGTAGCTTGGTGGTCATTGAACTAAATTCAAATCTTGGTAATGTTTTCAGTAGTGAATTACTTTTTTGCAATGTAAGGATGTAGCTAACTACTGGAAGTACATACATTTTTTTTGCAAAAATAAAATAAAATATGGGTGAAGGCAAGAATTTCCTTTATTTTTTGGCATCAGACCTGCCTCATTTTCACTTGAAACATAATTTTTGTGTTTACTAGGCTAAGTTACACATTCTGTTAACATCTGACTCCAGAGGGATTTGTTCTTGCAATTTGTAGCCTACAATATTTCAGATTTAGATATGTAATTTTTCACAAAGTAGATTGGATGTAGTGAACTTCTTTGTCAAAGTAACTTTAGTTAAGTAAACTATATTTTTCTTAAGGGTAGCTTTTGTGTAGCGTAACTTCTTCCAGTGTGAAGTAATTTGTACCTTGTTAAACTATATTTTTAGAGTAGCTTCCCCAAGACTGCATAGCCAGTGTAGACCAATAAGCATATCCCTAAACCAATTTTCTAACCAAACTTAAAGATAACCATTTAGCTTATTTTGGATATCAAGGTTAACCGAAAACTTTAAAAAGTGCACTATCCCTTTAATAACATCACTGTTAATAACTTCATGAACATCTTTATCAATAATGTGTCTGCAGCACAAGATGGAGGAGGCCTACCTGGGATGACTCCACAGTAGTTGATCCTTGTTTGTTTGTCCGTCGTCTGCTTGTCTGTCTGTCTCTCCTCGGTGGTGGAGCGCTTCCTCCTGTACACGCGGTGAGCCTGTCCCATGACAGCCAGTGTTTGATTGACAGGCTCGATGTAGAGGAAGTCCCCATTGACCTGAATGAAGCCCATCTGCAAAAAATGGACAAGACAGAGATGGCTTGCACTCAAACCGCATTTTTTCATGACCATCTGATGACAATGTAACCAACTTACACTTCATCCACTGACAAAGGAGGGGAGATATTGTAGGAGAGCACAGCAGCATATCAATCTAGGCTTCAAAATACATTTACATTTTAGCAGATGCTCTTACCCAGAGCGACTTACAGTAGTGAGTGCATACATTTTCATACTGGCCCACCATGGGAAACGAACCCACAACCCTGGAGTTGCAACCACCATCCTCTATCAACTGAGCCACACAATACCTGCTGATTTGTGTCTGGGGAAAAATGGCTTCAAACTGCACAGTAGCGCCATGAGGTATTCTTGATGGTTTTCTCATAGTTTTTTTATTTCTATTTTACCTTTATTTAACTAGGCAAGTCAGTTAAGAACAAATTCTTATTTACAATGACAGTCTACACCAGCCAAACCCGGACGACGCTGGGCCAATTGTGCGCCGCCCTATGGGACTCCCAATCACGGCCGGTTGTGATACAGCCTGGAATCGAACCAGGGGGTCTGTAGTGATGCCTCAAGCACAGAGATGCAGTGCCTTAGACCGCTGCGCCACTCGGGAGCCCACACGATTGAAAAGCTTATTTCTGTCTCTCCCTGATTGGCTTACATCTAAGAGAACACCTGTCTTAATTATGAATGAGAGACGAACATACAGCAACAAATGCAGATTACATTGAATGCAAGACCTAAACATTTCATCACTCATCACTTGAGCCCGCTGTGTTGTCGCTGTCCTGACAATGTCATCAGCTTGATATACATTGACATTTCATAAGTAGGGGGGCTAGCTGACTGCCTGACGTCAGTGCATATCAAATGATACAACACACACCGCACTGCGTTTGTCCTTCGCAGTCGGTTCACAGCTTCTCTCTCTGAGCAATAAGGAGCAGCATTCTCATTGGTTGGTGTGAACGCTGGTCAGGTTGAAGTGGTTGTGGCATTTCTCTGAACCACCAGGCTAAACACACTACACAGAACTATGGAACCCCAGACCTGAAGGCTTGGAGCCATGTCGTGCGGCCGAGACGTCTACAACTAGGGGAACTTTACATTGCAGGTTAGTTAGTCCAAATAACAAGGCCCTGCTTACACACTCAACGCCGCACACCACCTAGAGCTCCCCCCTACTGAGAGCTCTCCACTACCTAGAGCTCCCCACTACCTAGAGCTCCCCACTACCTAGAGCTCCCACTACCTAGAGCTCCCACTACCTAGAGCTCCCCACTACCTAGAGCTCCCACTACCTAGAGCTCCCCACTACTGAGAGATCCCCCCTACCTAGAGCTCCCCACTACCTAGAGCTCCCCACTACTGAGAGATCCCCACTACCTAGAGCTCCCCACTACCTAGAGCTCCCACTACCTAGAGCTCCCCACTACTGAGAGATCCCCCCTACCTAGAGCTCCCCACTACCTAGAGCTCCCCACTACTGAGAGATCCCCACTACCTAGAGCTCCCCACTACCTAGAGCTCCCACTACCTAGAGCTCCCCACTACCTAGAGCTCCCACTACCTAGAGCTCCCCACTACCTAGAGCTCCCCCCTACCTCCCCACTACCTAGAGATCCCCCCTACCTCCCCACTACCTAGAGCTCCCCACTACCTCCCCACTACCTAAATGTCCCCAACACCTAGAGCTCCCTGTCTCTCATTGCAAGCTCCATAACCTCAAATTGTCCATACGCACCCATTCCCCCCAGGGTTAGCCTCCAAACGTGGTGAAAAAATTGCGAGGAACTCTCCAACAAACCCACGGAGGGATTACCTGATGTTTGGAAAGAACGTTCCAAGAGCGGGCCCTCCTGGAGCTCAGTTGGTAGAGCATGGTGCTTGCAACGCCAGGGTTGTGGGTTCGATTCCCACAGGGGGCCAGTATGAAAAATGTATACACTCACTAACTGTAAGTCGCTCTGGATAAGAGCGTCTGCTAAATTACTTAAATGTAAATGAGTAAAGGAGGGTTAGGGTTGCTGGAGGGGAACGAAGGGAGAGGGTAGACCCATGGTGAAGTTATATTTGGTTTGGGTTCATTTAGGTTTGATGACTTGTGCAGACTAAACAAGCCACCGGCGCAGCCTGATTAAAAGAAAGTGGGCTGATGAGGAGAAAATGGCTGCCCAATGTGGGCAGAGATAGACCGAGGGCAAGGCATGACCACTTCAAGCCTTACTGACCCTAGTCTCAGAGATCCCAGACCTAGGGCAACAGCAGTAGGTCTGGGAATCATGCCAGTCAGTGGTTTTAAGCTTGTAATGCTAACGTCATGGCACATGCAAACCACTAACTTGCGAAACGCACTCATTGAAAATATCCTCCGCGAGCTCCATCTAGCTAGCTACCGGGAATGTTTACGACAGGACATGAAGGGATAGGGCTCTGATGGAGTTCCACTTCTTCTTCTCTATTCCAACTGACGAAGGTTCTCATACAGGTACTTCGACAGGTACTTCGACGGGTACTTGTACAAACGTGTATGCTGGAACATTGGTAAATTCTGGGAGGCAACGTGTCTGTGTAGAGAGACGACACTGACCCCTCAAAAACAGGTCTGAGGATGGTTCACTGACCTATGTTGACCACCTTTAATTTCAAAGGACTTTTCACATCAGCAAGGCATCAGTGTGGAGTCCAGCAAGAACAGAGCAGTAGAACAACATGACTAATGGAGTTTGACTTCTGCACTGGCGTTAGATATTTGGGTCATTCTGTATCAACCAATTTCTCCTTCTCACCCCAGTTATCCCTCCTCTCAGTTCTGACATTGCTGTTGTTGCAGTGTTATGGCTATGTAATTACACCAATTAAAAGGGCTTAGGGTTGAGGTCGCTCTGTTTACTGCCTGTCAATCACCCCGCCAACTCCATCCTTTGTGCAATTTTTGTGCATCACCGCCTGGTATGGCATACTGCTCGGCCTCCGACCGCAAGGCACTACAAAGGGTAATGCGTACGGTCCAGTACATCACTGGGGCCAAGCTTCCTGCCATCCAGGACCTCTATACCAGGCGGTGCCAGAGGGAGGCCCTAAAAATTGCCAAAGACTCCAGCCACCCTAGTCATGGACAGTTCTCTCTGCTACCGCACGGCAAACGTTACCGGAGCGCCAAGTCTAGGTCCAAAAGGCTTCTTAACAGCTTCTACCCCCAAGCCATAAGACTCTTGAACAGCTAATCAAATGGCTACACAGACTATTTGCATTGCACAGTGACCGTACGTACATACCCCAACCAGAAGCCATGGATTACAGGCAACATCCGCACTGAGCTAAAGGGTAGAGCTGCCGCTTTCAAGGAGCGGGACTCTAACCCGGACGCTTATAAGAAATCCTACTATGCCCTCCGACGAACCATCAAACAGGCAAAGAGTCAATACAGGACTAAGATTGAATCGTACTACACCGGCTCTGATGCTCGTTGGATGTGGCAGGGCTTGAAAACTATTACAGACTACAAAGGGAAGCACAGCCGCGAGCTGCCCAGTGACACAAGCCTACCAGACGAGCTAAACCACTTCTATGCTCGCTTCGAGGCACGCAACACTGAAGCATGCATGAGAGCACCAGCTGTTCCGGATGACTATGTGATCACGCTCTCCGTAGCCGATGTGAGTAAGACTTTTAAGCAGGTCAACATTCACAAGGCCGCAGGGCCAGACGGATTACCAGGACGTGTACTCCGAGCATGTGCTGACCAACTGGCAAGTGTCTTCACTGACATTTTCAACATGTCCTTGACTGAGTCTGTAATACCAACATGTTTCAAGCAGACCACAATAGTCTCCGTGCCCAAGGACACAAAAAAAATTATATATATAATTATATATATTTTTAAAATAGATAACCTGCCTAAATGACTACCGACCCGTAGCACTGACGTCTGTACCATGAAGTGCTTTGAATGCTGGTCATGGCTCACATCAACACCATTATCCCAGAAACCCTAGACCCACTCCAATTTGCATACCGCCCCAACAGATCCACAGATGATGCAATCTCTATTGCACTCCACACTGCCCTTTCCCACCTGGACAAGAGGAACACCTACGTGAGAATGCTATTCATTGACTACAGCTCAGCGTTCAACACCATAGTGCCCTCAAAGCTCATCACTAAGCTAAGGATCCTGGGACTAAACACCTCCCTCTGCAACTGGATCCTGGACTTCCTGACGGGCCGCCCCCAGGTGATAAGGGTAGGTAACAACACATCTGCTACGCTGATCCTCAACACAGGGGCCCCTCAGGGGTGCGTGATCAGTCCCCTCCTGTACACCCTGTTCACCCATGACTGCATGGCCAGGCACGACTCCAACACCATCATTAAGTTTGCTGATGACACAACAGTGGTAGGCCTGATCACCGACAACGATAAGACAGCCTATAGGGAGGTCAGAGACCTGGCCGTGTGGTGCCAGGATAACAACCTCTCCCTCAACGTGACCAAGACAAAGGAGATTAGCCACCCTAGTCATAGACTGTTCTCTCTGCTACCGCACGGCAAACGGTACCGGAGCGCTAAGTCTAGTTCCATAAGGCTTCTTAACAGCTTCTACCCCCAAGCCATAAGATTCCTGAACAGCTAATCATGGCTACCCAGACTATTTGCATTGCCCCCCCACCCCCACCCCATCTTTTTACGCTGCTGCTACTCTGTTAATTATTTATGCATAGTCACTTTAACTCTACCCACATGTACATATTACCTCAACTACCTCAACTAGCCGGTGCCCCCGCACATTGACTCTGCCCCGGTACCCCCCTGTATATATAGCCTCCCTACTGTTCTTTTATTTTACTTCTGCTCTTTTTTTCTCAACACTTTTTTGTTGTTGTTGTTTTATTTTACTTTTTTATTAAAAAATAAATGCATTGTTGGTTAAGGGCTGTAAGTAAGCATTTCACGGTAATGTCTACACCGGTTGTATTCGGCGCATGTGGCAAATAAAATTTGATTTGATTTAGTCACTTTACCTCTACCCACATGTACATATTACCTCAATTACCTCGACTAACCGGTGCCCCCGCACATTGACTCTGTACCGGTACCCCCTGTATATAGCCTCCCTACCATTATTACACATTGACTCTGTACCGGTACCTCCTGTATATAGCCTCGCTACTGTTATTTTACTGCTGCTCTTTCATTATTTGTTACTTTTCAATTTTTCTTATTTATTTATTTTTACTTATCTATTTTTTACTTAACACTTATTTTTCTTCAAACTGCATTGTTGGTTAAGGGCTTGTAAGTAAGTATTTCACTGTAAGGTCTACTACACCTGTTGTATTCGGCGCATGTAACAAATACAATTGGATTGGATTGGATTTGAATTTGAGCCATGACCAACTCTGCTATTGTCAATCAAACATTATTAGACATAGACGATACAACATGTCAAATTGTCCTCTTGCTCGTGACGTTTCAGCAGTTCCTGTCAACTTTCGGAATGATTCAGTATTTTAAAAGTGCCACATTTTCCAAATATGCAGAACTATGGAATGAAGTCAACCTTGCCATGCCATTGAAACGTCAGGTAAAGGCTAATCTCCACACAATACACATACATACATCAGAATGCATAGAAGTTGTAGACACTACAAAAACAAAATGTATCAGTGCTTGTCAGTCAGTGCAGAGAGAGAGAGAGAGAGAGAGAGAGAGAGGTTGATGAAAATTCAACTTTATGTAACGTTTGTCGCATTCTAAAATGAGCATCAAAATTCTGTCACCTTTGGTGAGTCTGCGGAGGTCGACAATGTGCTAGATTCCTCACGCTGACACTACTGTGGCGTGAGCCTCAGAACCTTAGACCATCACTTCAAACAGTACTCTGTTTATCTTAGATCAGAGGTCTGCCTGTGGAATATTTCTCAGTGATACATCGTACTGCCTGTTGTGAGCAATGAGCCAAATGTGTAGAATGGCATATACTGGTTCTACAAAATGACTAGACACAGATACTGGTATATTTAGACGATAAAAATTCCAATATTGCCAAACTACACAACTGGTCCGTCGCCATCGTAAAAGTTAATTCACATGAACTGCAATATTTCATTAATTGAGAGCTTGTTTTCGCATGGACAAACAGGGAGAAAAAAACAAATGAAGGGAAAAGCAATACTGTGCCTTTGCCAAGCTCATTGCGTGTTTCAATGTGTGTGAGGCGAAGCTTCGAGTTAACAAGACAGAGCCCGGGACTGTGGTCCAAACTGTTGAGACTGAGTCCAAGCCTCTCTAACCACAGGAGCTCACCCTTAAAACCTCAGGGGGCTGCTAATGATTCTGTACTGTGGCTCACGGAGAAGTTCATGTTGTCTGCCCTGAGACGGCACAAAGCAGGGTGGGCCAAAAAGGCAGTGGACCTTGGAGAGTTTACCTCCCACACATTCAAAAGATATACCTAAGGCTAAGGCGGTATGCTTGGAGTTACACACATATAAATACACAAATAAACTACACTACAGTACACACACACACATACACACACACACACACACACTGACAAAGACACAAAGTAGCTACAGTACCTTCCCACTTCAGACACACAGCACAAGGGCATTTTCAACATCCCTATCAAACAGTCACAATGGGTAGACTATTTGTTTGAGTTCAATGGTCCTTGTCCTATACATACCTCCAACTCTGAATGTAAGAATCAGTCCAGAATTACTTGAGCTAACGTCTAGAACGGTGTGTTTGGATTGCAAACATTAAATGTAGCCTGTTGTTGTTGTTGTTGTGTAACGGTACGCAAACTCAGAAGTGTGATGTTGGCTATGTCAGGTGTTACAGACTGTTCCATTCTCATGCATGAGCTTAGCATATGCTTTTTAAAGATACACATCGAACAACACTTAGGTCTATCGATAAGCATAACTAATATGCCAATCGTGGTATTGACTTGAATATTATATATTTACCAGTCCTGCGCAGGTGCTGAATGAGGCAATGGATCCTGCGTAATTGAGAACAGTTCCGCTGTAATAGCATCCTCTCTCTTCTGTGTTGGCAGCGGACGAAACTGGCATACTGCGCCGAGATGCCTTTCGTGTTTTCTGTCTCCTTTCCACCATGAATTTCTGGGACAGAAACCGAGTGTCTCTCTTCAGGATGAGGTGCAGGTCCCTGCCAAAAGCAGGAATTTTGAGTCTCAGCCCTGAGGAAGCGGCCGTTTGCGGTCCTTGCGGTTCCCAATGATATAGCTCTGGAGATTCGTACTCTTCCCAGTTTGAAATGGAACGAACTTCCCGAGAGCTGCTCCCGGCGCTGGCGTCAGTCTCTCGGCTAGTTGGTTTATCGGGAGCCCCGGAGCTGGCGTCAGTCTCTCGGCTATTTGGTTTATCAGGAGCCGGTGGACCTGTGTCTGGAAAAACCTCGGGGAAAATAATTTCGGACTCGGATTCCTGGAAAGGGTGCGGATCTGGAGAGTAAGAATAGGAAATGAGGGAAAGAAGACAGCAAATACCCTAGGATTAGTCGTTATAGTCTTTTTCGGAAAGGTGAACTGGAGCAAAGGAAATGTAACCCATGGATGATCCTGTCTGCGCCAATAAAATGACTGGGTGATGTCTCACCTGCGCATCACTATATTAGCTAACTCAGCGAATTACAAAAGTGAGAAACAACGACAATTGTTACCATGCCTTGTGAGTACCTGATTAACTAAATCAACTTCTAAACTGCATATTGAAGGTGTTTCACATATACCTGCAATGGCAAATGCTCCAAGAAAACATAACTGATGGAGGAGACTGAAGATGCGCTTTAGATGCATATTCACAGTTAATGTTCAATTAACTTTTACAGATAGTGTCGTTAAAAAGTTGCTCTCCGTGCACATTAGTCAAATTCTGTGTTGTCTATGCGCTGCCTGATACTTTTTTCCATCTCCCGGTAAATGCGCCTCTCTCCTCTCGCACATGAACGTGTTTCCAAATGAATGACTCCGTATCCTGCACTGTAAAAATAAAAAAGTCAGCATAGGAGAGAGAGAGAGAGAGATTGGTATAGAAGTGTATTTTGATGTATGGACAGCGCGCACTGAGCGGTAGAGAGCACACTCGAGCAGTCAAGACTGCGCGCTCTAAATAGCCTGCTCAACTGCAGTAAGACCAGAGAAGAATATAGCCACACTTGTTGAGCTGCTACCTCAATTTATTGGGGAGGAGGTGTGCAAAAAAAAAAATACAAAATGCAGGCTTCTTTTTACAGATCTAATTGGAGCATAATAAACTACTGTCTGTCTACTATAGCTATATATTGGAGATATTTTGTTCAAATTGAATGAAAACATCTCGTGTCAAATTGTTGTCACTTCGTTTTCATTAGTTTGAGTTTTCATTTAGCTTCTCACAGAACAAATGCTGGTTCTTTCCATTTCATTTCCTGGACACCTGTATATATTTTGGATCATACAATAAAGGATAATACAAGGTTGTGTATCGCCAAGGTCTGTCGTGTTTGATTTTTACCATAGTCAAAACATATTTTCCAAATAATGATTTCCTACGTTTTTTTCCTCATAGAAAAGGTGTAATAAAGAGAGCTGTGTAATTAGTAGCCTACTGGGCTGCAGTGATTCGTTTTGCATTCATTCACCATTATCAGTTAATCCCATGCTACTAACCCTTCTCAACGTTTAAGTCTGTGTATTGGAGAGCCCATTCTCAGCAATGACTCTGGGGTTTCAAAGAGCTTGGGGTTTTCTCCAGGATTCTCTAAAGTTTAAACTAAATGATAGGCTTATCAAAAGTGTCAGCAAGACCACTGATATCTTTTCTATGTGATCCTACAGTATTCCAGACTTCTATTCAAGATCGATTAGGTCCACAGTAGGGCACCCACTAACACCCTGGACCAGAGCTAGCACCCACTAACACCCTGGACCAGAGCTAGCACACACTAACACCCTGGACCAGAGCTAGCACGCACTAACACCCTGGACCAGAGCTAGCACACACTAACACCCTGGACCAGAGCTAGCACGCACTAACACCCTGGACAAGAGCTAGCACCCACTAACACCCTGGACCAGAGCTAGCACGCACTAACACCCTGGACAAGAGCTAGCACCCACTAACACCCTGGACCAGAGCTAGCACGCACTAACACCCTGGACCAGAGCTAGCACGCACTAACACCCTGGACAAGAGCTAGCACCCACTAACACCCTGGACCAGAGCTAGCACGCACTAACACCCTGGAACAGAGCTAGCACGCACTAACACCCTGGACCAGAGCTAGCACGCACTAACACCCTGGACCAGAGCTAGCATGCACTAACACCCTGGAACAGAGCTAGGTCCCATCCAGGTGCTATAGAGTACCACACTATTAGTTATAATACCCATAAAACCTTGCGGTCAAACGGAAATGGTTACAATTGTTTTTCCACCATACATTTTTCCCATAGGGGATTCTAGAAACACTTAAAATAAGGGCTGTGTTTCGTGTAGGTTTACCCTGGCGTGACATTTTGATAACCGTGTAAATACATCTAGGACAAGGTGACGTTTATCAATATATTCGCCTGTATTTATCCCCCCAAAATGAAATGCTAATTAGCTGCTAATGTGGCTATCATAAAGAACTACAAATGCCATGATGATCTGGACGAGACTGCCAAATTGAGGCAAAGGTAAGAATCTCTGGATTAACTATCTGATGTTAGCTAAATGTAGTAATGAATAAATTGGCAACATTCCTTTTCTTGTGCAAGTTTTAAATTGACACAATAACCTGTTAGCAAAGGTGTCAGTTAGAGATGACGTGCAGGAGCTTGCAGGGATTTGTAGTCTTGCATGATGTCTACTTTGATGCTAATTAGCATTTTTTGAATCTGAGAGTAAACAGAGCCAAATATATTGACAAAAGCCCCCTTGGTTATTTTTAAGTGCATTTAAAATCCCCAATGTGAAAAAGACATAGTGGAAAAACGATTGGGTATTATGACACCTCCACTGTGGGGCTCTATGGGGCTTTGTCCTACCACAGCGAGTTGACCTGATGCAAAATGATCTACTCTATTTTTCAACGAGGGAGGGTTCGAGTAATACTTGATAAGTCTGATTTCTCCTGTGCCAAGGCATACTGGAATGATTTCACTTGGCATTTGCCTTTTGGCATATCAAATCTCAAGGGTAATGCAAAGTTGATTAAGATCTTTTCAATATAGTCCTCCTACCACGTTGCATATTGCGGAATCATTTGACACATTTCAACACAAATGAAAACAAGAAAGAATAGCACAAGTAATCAAATTGGCAACAACATGGGTATGTAATCAATTAAGGCATGCTGAGTTCAACCTTTGCCAGTCTTGCTGGCATGTTTGGTATTGATGGGCCAGGTTTAGTGATGTCACTCACTCAGTCAGTCAATGGTTCTCGTCTGGGCGGTGACTTTAAAAGTGGCAATCTGCAGTTGCTACATCTATTTCAGGACTTATAAATTAATGATATGAACCCATTGATTCTTAAAGAATATAACTTATAAATGCCCCATGAGCTTAGTTCAACTGTCGGACCCCATCAGAACCCAAAATATGAACTTGTTTTACTCCAGTGTTTGTAAACAAAGTAAATGTAAACAAACACTATATTGCCTCAAAACATGGTTAAAACTATAATTTAGATATCATGGAGGGTCAGTCCTTGCATTCATAGCTCTGTCTATGAATTTGAGAGTGGTTTCTTCAGCCCCATCCCTCAGCTTTTTACAGAAACAGGGGAGGGGAAAATGCTTTTTTATTGTTTAAACTGCTGATTGCTGCTTTAAAGGGATCATTCAAAAATAATAATCATCACAGTTTTTTATATGTACTGAAAGTGCTCAATCTTGAAAAATGGACTGCTGGCATGCACAATTCTTTGGGATTGCATCAACAGTGAACTAATAAACAAAACGCTAAAATATAGTTTTTGAAGGGAACTATCCCTTTAACAGATCCTCTTGTTGTCTAAATACCACGTCAAACCATGGAGTATCAACCGTACTCTGGTTACAAAGAGATAGTATATACTTGCAAGTTGCAACTACATAATAACTGTAGTTGCAATGTGACTCCTTTACATGACTCCAGGACATGACTCCTTTACAGGACTCCAGGACATGACTCCTTTACATGACTCCAGGAAATGACTCCATTACAGGACTCCAGGACATGACTCCTTTACATGACTCCAGGACATGACTCCATTACAGGACTCCAGGAAATGACTCCATTACAGGACTCCAGGACATGACTCCTTTACAGGACTCCAGGAAATGACTCCATTACAGGACTCCAGGACATGACTCCTTTACATGACTCCAGGACATGACTCCATTACAGGACTCCAGGAAATGACTCCATTACAGGACTCCAGGAAATGACTCCATTACAGGACTCCAGGACATGACTCCATTACAGGACTCCAGGACATGACTCCATTACAGGACTTCAGGACATGACTCCATTACAGGACTTCAGGACATGACTCCAGGACATGACTCCTTTACATGACTCCAGGACATGACTCCTTTACATGACTCCAGGACATGACTCCTTTACATGACTCCAGGACATGACTCCATTACAGGACTCCAGGAAATGACTCCATTACAGGACTCCAGGAAATGACTCCATTACAGGACTCCAGGACATGACTCCTTTACAGGACTCCAGGACATGACTCCTTTACATGACTTCAGGACATGACTCCATTACATGACTCCAGGACATGACTCCAGGACATGACTCCTTTACATGACTCCAGGACATGACTCCATTACAGTACTCCAGGAAATGACTCCATTACAGGACTACAGGAAATGACTCCATTACAGGACTCCATTACAGGACTCCTTTACATGACTTCAGGACATGACTCCATTACAGGACTCCAGGACATGACTCCATTACAGGACTTCAGGACATGACTCCAGGAAATGACTCCATTACAGGACTCCAGGACATGACTCCTTTACATGACTTCAGGACATTACTCCATTACAGGACTCCAGGACATGACTCCATCACAGGACTTCAGGACATGACTCCATTACATGACTCCATCACAGGACTTCAGGACATGACTCCATTACAGCACTCCAGGACATGACTCCATTACATGACTCAGTGGTTTATTACGTGAAGAGTGCGGAACAAACTAGGTGTCATTACATGTTTATAATCTAGAAATGAAGTAATTCTCTGGTTATTATGCACTAGTTTTAACCAATGTGAAATTACTTTGACTCACGGATATTCTTTAACTTTACAAATATGACGTGTTTCTTGCAGTCATGTGTTGTGTGTACCTTTTGATTACATTCCTAGTGCAACCACAGAGGTCATGAATATCCCTGTCAGAGAACACCATTATATCATGTGTTAACATAATAGCATTTTTCTGAGCAAACTGTGCAGCATTCATTT